ATATCACACGGTGACCCAAAGTCAAACGAACAATCATAGTGATCTATTAAAACTCTCCTAGTGATTGTGGTCACTTCACATGTAAGCAGTAATTTCTGCTCACAAAGTGCACAAGTAGCAACATCTCGATCAATTAACAACGTCATTAGTCCGACTAAAACAGCCGTGATAACTTTAACCTATAGAACGAAGGAAACCCGGACTAGAAACTTCTTTTTAAGGATCGTTTAACCAATATATCTTACCTTTTTCAAAGACCTTCCGGGGGTCCAAGCCTACTTCAATTTGAATCCGCCTGGAACCTATTTACTATTAGAAAGAAAGGGGGATATTTACCACAAATAATCTTCTCAAGAAAATATGGATCCACTGATCCATTCGGTTTTACACATTATCGATTTTCACACTAAGAATTGTGAACATGGTCTTTAAGTTTCTCCACGCATGGTATACCTAACCGAAACATATTATTCAGAAGGTTCACTGTACACATAAGTGTTTCATTCTTAAAGCTCGTTAAAATTCCATAGTTAGATCAAACTGGGAATCAATACTTGCTAAAAATGATCATCGCAAACAGCTGTGAGATCTGAAACATCGTGTTTAATAAAAGCGAACAATGGACTATCATACTACGATTAAATTTGCAGGCCTGATGAAAAAATGCCACGCATCATGTTGAAACCTGCCTTGTTTTTGAATTCATTGCACTAGGTGAAAAAGGATATGGCTTAAATTGTTATAGTTTAACTGACAGTGTTTAAATGAGGTGGAAAAAAGTGAAGCACGTTGTTCAATTTCTAAACTGATGGATTATTATTTGGTTTGAAATTGACTGAAACAGTTTGATTTTCCATCTAAAACGATAACTGTAGAAGCAAAAATATGCACGAAATGAACGTCATTGTTATGGTACAAGCTGGGGAATACAATCCGGTGTTGAATCACTTAATTTGCATATGTACAACGTCGAATCAACCGGTGTTTGAACCCGGAATAACACGCGTATTGAACCAATCTGATTAGACCGGTACAATCAGCCAAGCAGATCTACTTGGTAATATTCATTTGGGCCCCAGTTTTGATCAAAATATTTTGATAATTAGCCTAAAACATACCTAACAAACACAAGTTGTGCCTTAAAATCAAACCGATCAATTTAAATTTCATTACGCAGATCAAAAGATGTGAATTCGAAGAGCAAAAAATGGAAAACAAACGAATAAAGAATCTCACATAATTTGTTCTCTATTTGTATATGCATGAAATAAATCCATCTCATGTAGGAGTGGTGGTGCTGGTAGTTCGCATAGTATTCACGTACAGTTAACAACCTGAGCGTATTGAAAAATTTACTAACCTCATGAGTGATAAATGTGTAGGGAACTGGGAAGATGATATTTCAATTTCAAGGGGAGAGCGAACGGAAGTGGGAGTCTGTACATGAGAACTGAAGAGACTGTATTTCAGCAGACGAAAACCGGAGGTAGGGCGAGCGAGTGAATAGAAGCAACCAAAATATTCAAAAAAAGGAAACAGAACACAATATCGGCAGCAGGTATGGACATGGAATATAGAAGAGTCAATAGAGGGGAAACAATCCTAGAATTTGAACTCTGCTATTTTTGTGGGGCTAGGGAACGTTTCCGTTGTTGTGGTTGTGTCTTGTCTGTGACAGAGCGAGNGGGACGGGAACAAAAGATGGATAAAACCGATAGTGTGGGATACTTGAGGCCTGATTTGAGCGACGCCATTCGACCAAAAACTGATAAGACATTTGGGTATATCTGCTGCCCCCGGGGGAGAAGAGTAACTCAGAAGAAAAAGAACCAAATAAAACAATAGCACAAGTGGAAGCACAAAGGTTTGAAAACATTCTCTACTCATTCACGGACGCATCAGTGTAAATAATTCTGTTCGGTCAAAGCAAAGAAAGAATGTTTGGCAATAATCAAATGCATACAGGTGTTAAATCACAAATCAATCTCCACTGGGTCCGATTTGGAACGTGTGCGTGTGTGTGTGCTTGGATTGGTTGATGAAAAGAAATAAAGAAGCAGTGCATCCTGTTCGTGACTCACCACATTACTGGCTAAATTACGATTATCCGGGTCTCTTGATTACCCATTACACAATTCAGTTCGAAAAGCAGGAAAGGAAAACAAAATAGTACACATACCACTACTGAACATGTGCACTCAACCGTGATCATTTGAGTCGAGGGAATAAACGGTGGCACAAGACGGTGAGGAGGAAACAATCAGACTAGCGTTATTGGTTTTTAGTTGTCCATTTTGATTGGTCAGCTTCGCGCAACTGGGAGGAGAGATAGCAAACCAGGCGACCACCAGTGAACTGCCTACCAAATGAATAGGGCTGCATCTGTGTATTTGTGATTGTGCGTGGTCATCATTCAGGTTTCATAAAATAGTGATTAAGTCCAATTTATTTGGCTGAAAATCCCCGGGACTGGTGACCTCAAGGAAGCACGATGACGATACGGGAACGCAACGAGAGGTTCGTGGCGGGTGTGTGCAGGTGTGCATGACATGTACTAACAGAATGAAAGACCTCGGCAAATAGCTGGCGCATTCTACGGAAAGGAGGTAGTAGGGAAATGTTGCAATCAAATCCAAGCGCAATAATTGGCTAGGCGTCGTTTTGTTTTTGTAACCCCCCCCCCTCCGAAAACCGGTTCATCAGGCGAGGTTCATAAAGTAAACTAATGTGTCCGTGAGCTCTTGGACAGCATTCAAATCGGTCAGATGTATGCGCAATTTTCGGAGCCAAGTCTCATCTTTCATCCGACTTGAACGGGGAACACGATCGTGACGTGTCAAATGGTTGGCAATCACAAAAGCGTCACGATGACTTGTCGAACCTGTGTTTGTTGTCCCATCCGCAACTATAGTGTGCAATTTAGCGCCACGTTTCAGGTGCGGCAAACGATCCACGTAAACTAGAAAGAACGCACCACTTCGTTGACCACCAAACGACAAAATGGCACCGTATGGTATCGATTTTATACAATTTAGACTACGTTGCGTACGATCTTGTGCTGACTGGCTTCGGCTCATACCTCCCATCCACTGTGCACTGTTCGAGCTTGAAACAAGGAGATTTATTTGGTTCTCTTGTGGAACCAGCCAAACCAATTCACTCTCCACGTGACCTGGAAGATTGAACACATGTGAGGCAAATGCAGTTGTCCCAAATCTAGCTGAAGCCAAATTTCTCAGCGTTCTCAAATACGAAAAACATGCATGAACCGAACTGGCGGTTACCATGGTTTCATCTTTTGTTTCTTGAACAGCTTTGCTGTCACAAACGTGGCGCAAATCTACGGGGTGTTGACACAACCATCCCCATCGATCCAGGAGCAACAGTTTGAGCTGAATGAACGAACGGTTATCCGCGGAAAGGGTTTGCAACCATTCACTTGGGAAATAAGTGTGAATTAGCTGGTTCAAATCAATCTCTCTTTGACGTTGCAATGTGGAATAGTCAAAATGATCAGTTCGACACAAATATGCTGCAAGATCCAACAGCTCACTTCCCGTGGGTAAAACTTGATATGATCCACTTAACAGGTCAGTATGAAGTTGGTGCGCAAGCATACTAATCAATGATTTCACTTGAGACGCATGAAATCTCTTCAACCGTTTCCAACAAAATGCCTGAATACGAAACACCAGTTCTACTGTCGCATCCTCCAGACGAACTTTCTGTTGTTCCTGCTGATTCAGCACGAGCACAGCCTGTTCGTATAGGGAAATCACATCACACATTTTCCAATCCGGGCTTAGGTAAACATATTTCGGCGGTTTTCCCGACGGATTGAGACGCAGATAGATGGCAAACAAACAGCTATTATCTTGTGCACACGTGGAGAGACCCAGCTTTCGTACGATTTGTTGAATCACATAAGAGAATTCGGAACCTCCATTGAAACTGATCACCTCATATACACCACCACTGGGCAAATAAATTGGAATACTAAACGGATAACTGTGTGTGTACGGGTTCCGAATGGAAATAGAGGCCACCTCCAAAGCGGACGGCACCTCGACGCGTCCACCGTATCGAAGTGTTTGGGTGAGTGCATCCTTACAAAATGCAGCATATCGAGCTAGTTCCGCGTTTAGGCCTCCGTTAGCCAAATTTTCACGAATTGGACCATCCGCATCGTGATAAATGCTGATTAACAGTTCCAAACAATGCAATACTGGAGGGGATGGAAGGAATAGAGGTAGTACAAGACATAAACACTCCCACACTGCTACTAGAGGCCACCAGCCTTCTGGTCTGATGAGGCCAATAAAACTGGGAACTGGAAACACCAGGCGAGCGTCTGATGTCAATTGTTTGGACAAGTCCCCCAACTGTGTAGCTCTTTCCAGTGGAATATTAAACTCCACTCTTCTGGGATCTGTCAACCTGGACTGTAGAGGGCTGCTAATATCTCGAGGTTTGCGTCTGGATGTGGCATCGTCAGCCGAGCGCAAACGGGCACAAAATAACGGAAGACGCGGTCTCATAGAACGCGGACTTACCGGAAATTGACGGCGTATCAGTCGTTTTGTTTGTGTGTCAGACAGCATGGCCTGCTTGATCAGTTGCAAGAAAAGTTCATCTTTTAATCCGGGCAAACTGAAGCACAAAGAAGCCAAGTGTTTGACGATCAGATGTTTCATAGTTAACCATTCCGAGAGCCCGAGTAAATTCGACAAATTCACTTTAGCACCATGTTGCACATTTTCCAGTTCCGGGTACGAGAGGAACAACAGACTGGCAAACATTTTTACACAATATTCCGACTGTTTTCCTTCCGTAGTTTTCGATAAAGGCTGCTTAATCAACTCGTTTGTATGGTAAGGATCATTTGTGTAGGGCGGACGAACCAGCACCCTCCAGTAATCTTTCAGGCGACCTTGAGCTTCGATCGGTTCTATTGGACGATCCATTGTCGTCAAATTGACCTGGTGGCAAGCTCGAACCAAATTATCGCGCCACTGTTTGAACTCCTCACCTGTGCGACAAATTAAATAAACCGGGTCAGATTTGTCTGTCCACAGAGCAATTGTTCGGTTACGAACATCCGAATCTCCGGTCGCTAACGTATCTGAGTCTGAGCTGGAACTCAAGGTAGCCGGAATTTCAGCTGAGTGATCTTGTCGTGTCGAATCCTCGGTACGGATTTCCGTTCCTCGGGACAAAATAGGGTTTGAGTACATGGTGTTCAGAGTTTTAATTTGTGTCCCTTCAAGAGATTTGAACCCAGTTGGTTCCAAGGAGTCTGGACTCTGAGCATAAACCAGGAAGTAACCCATCAAACGACACCAAACCCAACTAATCTCACCACCTTTTATACGCTGCAACCATCCCTGAGTAACCAATTGCGCTTCGTGATTTCGCACCACTTCACGAGCACGAACAGCGCGCAACATGCGTTTGATCTGCCGCATCCACAGTTCCGTCTCTGCAGTGTTTGGCCCTCGAAGTCGGTGTGTTTTACCCGAGGTCAGGATCAACTCAAAATGGCCGTAGTTCGTCCTACCCAGATTATCTTGGTGCAACTGGGCGAGTTTTCTAGTGACCGGTACGCTGCCATTACGATATTTAGTGACTATACCCTGACGATCCTGTTCCAACACACTGGATGTAACCATTCCGGTAGTGATTGAGGCAGACAAGTTATGCGGCTTCCGAATCGATTGAATATCGGATAGAAGAATGCATCGCTTAGGGGCTTGTATTGAAGGCTGGTGACTTGTATGCAACAGTAAGTTCGATGGATTCAGAACAGCCCAATATCGGCGCCAAATCTTTACTCTATTACTCAGTCGGAACATCAGGCCTTGGTGCATAATTATTCTATCCGTATGACCCGGCTTACCCTCTCCGGTCTCTTCCATGTGCGAACCAGTAATTTGAGGAAATGTCTCCAGAGAGGTAAGTGGTGGACCGGGAACCTTTAAAGGGCTTTCGAAAATTGAAGGTTTTGAAGTTGTGGGTTCTGAACTGTGAGAAGGTCCCGGTTGTGCTTTCATATCCGTAGTCGATGGTGCTTCTACAATTTTCGGACGCCGATTGTTTGAACTTAGTTCCGAAGTAAGATCACTAGATTCTTGTGAATGACATATCGCTTCCTGTGAAGTGAGAATAGGAGTGATGGACGTAAAGGGAGGTTGCACACGCTGCAGTAAAACTGCCCGACCCTGACTGCACGTGTACGCATCAAGACCACTGATTAGTTTGCTGATAAACGTCAAAACTGTTGCGTCACCGGGAAGCAGCAAGGCAGTAGCAGTTGCGGGTAAATGCTGACCGAATTCGGCAAACATATTGAGGAAGTCAGTGGACCGGCCCATTTGAGTTTGGTGCTTCCATCTAGGCTGCGGACTGTAGAGTTTCGGAATTGGAGTTCGACTTATTGTCGGAGAGACATCCGTAGCTCTTATACGTCCTCTGGGAGTTGTCGTCTCATCAAACAAACCTACGGGTATCGTAATTGGTGCCGTATCCCGCAAACGAGATGGTTTGAGAACACGTTTCGCTCCCGCATACTCAATATGGTTCGTACGACTGGTCGTACTGGTGGTGTCGCTTGATTCTTCCAAAGCCACTGGTTGTTGAATATGCCGTCGTGATATCCGTACTTTTGGTGGTCCAGCAGACGTATTCCTGGTTGATTCTGTAGAAGGAACCCGATCTGATGTAGAACGCCTGGGCAAAGATCTGCCGATCATACCTTCGCGTTGTGTGGCCCCCGTGGCAACTGGAAGACCATACATCTGTCGCATTGATGTAATTAGCTCTTGACGCGTGGGTATTCGCCCAACAGTGGTTTGTAACATATGTAAAGAACCGTGAGGACCTGCCCGATGGCGTTCGTCGTGGGAAAGTATGGGATATGTTCTGTCTGGAGAATGTTTTTCACCTGATTCGTATGCAGGGCGTTCTTTTCGATGCGCAGACGTGGGCCATAATGGTGATGTGGGCATTGAAGAGGAAAGTTGTGCTTTTGTTTTGGGCAAAATTTGCTTCACGAATGGGGGCAAGACTGGCAGCATAGGTGAAGAAGAGCGTGAAGATGAAGATGAGGAAAACATGGAACAGGAACGTGAACTAGACTGGACGGACTCGGTATCGTATCCACGGAATTTGGCAGAAACATTCATCAGACTGAGAGAAGAAGCTTGGCTTGTTCGCGAAAGCCACGCAGGCACCTCAATACGGTCGTCCTTTGTTGGAAATTCAGAGGGTTCGCCGTAAGGACTGATCTCACTCGTAATGTTCTCGAATTGTTCGTTCAAGTCTGATGCAGTTGTCGGGGGAACCTCTAGTTCCGTCTGGGCATCCCGCGGGGGTTCATAACGCCATTTCGCTAGACGCTGCTTTTCTGCTTGACGAGCTGAGGTAGTAAATGCACTGCTGGTTTTCCGCTTAGGTAGTGAGCTTGGCTGATCAGGCATTAGTTTTACAGCCTCTAGCTTAGGGAGTTCCACATAAGGTGNCGCCTTGAGGCTCGTGCCTTCTGTCGCGTCGTTCTTGGAGGAAAAGTTGCTCGACTCAGACTGAAACATTTTTTGAACCGGATCTTTGAGTAGACACAGTTCCTCATATGCATCTGAAAGACTCGAATAGTCGAAACCACTAACGACACTGTTTGATTCAACTAGGCTATCCCGCGGTCCGGAGTAGTCTGATTCCGCCAAAGGAGCTGCAGTGGGTGCCGGCTTATCTTGTTGCGTTAATTTGGAATCGGTGGAAGATTGACTAATCAGGCTGGAAATGAATTCCCTTGCTTCACTCTTGGTCATTGCCTGCTCGCGATCGGATATACCAGGAACCTGGCCTGTTGCAAGTCGTTCTAGAACATGTAGTAACTGATGCTCTAACTGGGACTTTTCTGCATTCAATCGCTGATTTACCAATTCCAAATTGCGCAACCGTAGTGCTACAGCTTGCCTCACATTTGCTGAATCCCGCGACGTACTTGGTACTGGGACAGCCTCAGCTAATCGATCCGCGCGAGCACTCTCTGCACGAGGAAGGCCCTCTGCTGATACATCTTCCGTACATTTCTTCCGTTCGCTGTTTTTTTGATGATGATGGTGGTGGTGGTGTTCTTGGTGGCCTTCCATTGGATTGTATTCGATCAATCCTCAGCACACGTGCACAACACATGCTATACTTAAATAATTCCACCACGTGGATTCACTCACGGGTGTGCTCCATATGGGTTGCAATGTAGACAGGATCTCACACACACAAGAGAAAGGTTTTCAAAAAATCGAGTATCGGCTATCCGAATCACATAGGAGCACTAATTGAAACATAATTGTTTTGAGTACGGGGATGATAAAAATGACGTTAGAACATAATTCTTCCACGTGGGAGCGCGTAAGCTGATTGGAATCGGCAAACTGATTTTGTAAACCGACGCACGGAAAGCCGGTAGACCGTTAATTTGCCCTTGCACGTGTGAGTGTGTGGTGTCGTGTTGTGTCGTGCAGTGCGGTGTCATGTCGTTAGCCTCTCTCACTCAGTGGATTGGTTGGGGACGGCGCGACAAGTCCTGCATGCGTGTATGTGCATCAGTTAACACACGGACAAATGCACGCGCACAAATAGAGGCTTCGGTAGTCCATCACAGTTTAACGTAAGGGCGTAGGACAAACACACGCACACGTGTATAGGGAGTGGGGGAGGCGTTTAGGCTTGTGGTTTTGACCTCGGAATGAACCAATCAAAATCCGGTTAATGGTCAGTGGCCTTGATGGCGTTTTTGAGCTTTTGGCTGACAGCGCAGTGTGGAAACAAATAACCGATTACAGGATTCTGTAACTTAACGAGAACTTCGAGGGTAGCTGTCAAAACGAACTGGTTTCGTAAATAAACTTATAAACTTATGAACAAAACCGGAGACTCCGTCCATTCAAATTAAATTCATCTATACAGGGATTGTCTTATCTTTTCAATACAATGCATGCCATTAGAAACAAACAATACGAGATAAATGATCTATTTTTCTGTACTGTCACAATTCTAGCATAAACAGAACATTTTTCCCGTTAATTTAATATTCAAGACGTACACGGAAAGCGTGAATCGTCGGAGGATAATTTTTGGCATAGTGATAAATTGACTATGTGCACCACGTGGCGGTGGTAGCCAAGTGGTTAGGTCACCAACTTGTGACCTGGCAGTCCCGTCTTCCCAGGTAGTCTTTGTATGGCTGTTGACTGTACATTTGTACATTCAATAAATAAAAAAGGAAGTAAAAATATATTTGTTTATTTTATTTGCCATTAAAATACTCTTTTATTTAACGATAACTTCCATAGTAGATATGTGCTTCACATATACCGCTTAGCGTAAATTTATTTCCGGTAACACAGATGTATATCACCTTCAATTTGTTCAGCTTCGATGTGCAAGTAAACATTGGGTGTTACTATTGCCAACACCTACGCCGCACGGGTAAAAAGGTTCATTGTTAAGTGATTAAACCCTCGGGATCCAAAAGCGTTTTAAAATTGGGGAAAGCAATGAGGGAAAAATCCAGATAAATCCTGTTTGTTAAATCCTGTTTTGAAGGTGTGGTGGCTATAGATTAGGCGGGGTGGGTTGGGTGGATTGCGGGAGAATGTCCACATTTCGGTGATTATTTTATCATTACGGTTCAAGCTGGGTGTAGAAAACGAGGCAAACTCTATAATCATAGAGCACAGTGTACCGAGAAAATGACGGTAGTGACCATGATGGCCGTAGTGGTAACATCATCAAAACAATGTCTCAGACGATGTGTTCGAATCTCCCCACCAGTGCCTGGCTTTCCTTATTCCCTGTGTGTGTTGTAAGGCAGACCTCTGACTGACCGCTTCCCCTCCCTGAAAACTATGCAGTATTTATTCAGTAAAGGAAATGAAATAAAAAGACAAGGGGAATGTACATGCAACAACATCTTGATTCTCTTGCTGTCCAACATAGAACGACCATATGGGAGGGGTAAAAACAGAATAAGCAAATTCCATAAACAACTCCGCGGTTGAGGAAAAGTGAGGAGTTGAGAAACGACTGCGAATAGGATTTTATAGTCAACCGATAATTGCCACTTGGCGTTCTCGAGCTGGTCTCTCGAGAAAATGAAATATCGGAGGGATCAAACTGGGAAGCTAAGAACTAGAAAATCCGTGATGCTAATGGTGAAAAAGGACAAGTGGGTGATCACACGGCACTAGGCAATGGTTGACTAGTATAGGTTAGAAAATGATCCGCAAAAAGGGGAATGACTTCATAATGAAAGCGGCCCAAGGAGCTAAACAATAGAGGAAAGCCTCAATCACCAATGGGTACAATGTTCCTAAGGGGGAGGAGCATATATGTATCTCGGAGAGATAGACAGCCGGATTGAGGTGTAAAACGCTTCGCTCATAAAAGGACAGAACACCGCGTGAACGTACGATATGAAGAGATGGGAGGGGAAAATTGAGGACCAAGTAGAGTTGCGAAGGTTATGGAGCAAACCAAATTCAGATAACTGAAGCCATTTACGTAGAATTCAGGCGTACACTTAGTTTCAGAGGCCGTAAAGTCGCCTGTGGCATTTGGGTCTGAATTGATAGAATCACACAAGAACAGTTGTGCACCAGATAGATGACGATAGAGGACGTAAAAACTGTTGTGAGAAACACAACAATGCACCTTGGCATCATGGGCCGAGGGTGTTAATATCGGTAGTTTGTGGTACAAGAAATTCGATGCGGAGAGAGAGAGCGACATGTGAGAGAGAGCACGGAACTTTGCTGGACGCTGAAGTTAATCGCTATTGCTGTCGGAATGACCTCAATAATATGAACCGAATTTGAATGAACATCGAGGAAGCTCTGTACTTCTGCGATGCATATTGGGAGGGGATAACTAAAAACAAAGGAATTTTCGCACTCTCATTGCATTTTTAAATATGAGACATAGAGACACTCTTGGTTGCCTCTGAAAACCTGAATCTAGTCAACTTTAGGCATTTCGAGTAATATTATATGTCTCAGCAAATGTAGAGGGAACTGATGAGTTCACAGTTGTACACTATCGGGGTTCAACACGGTCCTTCTCTGCTCCGCAAGACCCTACATCTATAGCAAATTGAATGGGTTCATATGAGAATCACAATCACCGACTACTGTGAGCACTCTGACTGCAGCAACCCGTAGTATTTGAAGTAGGTACAAATCTCGAATTGAGTTACAAATCACCAATCGTGAATCGAGGACGCAACGGAAACACCGAATCCCACTAGAACTGGCACACTTGTATCTCATGTAACCGAGACGCGTGAAAGAGGCCACACACATAAAAGTTTGTTGATTGAAAGTAATCAGTGGGATCAAATAATAAGTACAAAAGAAGTTTCTTGGTTATTCAATTATTCACCAACAACGGGCACGCACCCTTGACGTCATTCAGCTTCTATCTGGACCGAACGACTTCTGATTGGTCAGCACGCTTCGCCTGTGGTTCGTTGTCCAGAAACTGTAGCCCGTAGGTGCTTGGCTGGCATTATCTGGGAAGAATAACTCACTAGAGTTGTCAAGAAACTGTAACAGGTTGCTCCGTGGCTGGCGTTATCCCGTAGGCTAGGATCACATAACCTCTCGGGTAAGGTTACCGGTTTCCATAACGGATCAGCAGGTATTCGTGACTATGGTGTTCGCCCCGTCTGCTGTTCGACACACAAATGTGTTTAATAAAAAATACAAGCTTTTTTCAGAGAAAGGAATTTATGCAAGAGAGAACGCTATACTGGTGCTTCGAAGGATAAGCCAGATCAAGAAGACACAGTGCACTAATCTAAATAGACTGGAATTAGGAATAGGAATTTTCTTCGCTATTAAATCACGAAATCGTTCAGGCAATCGCATATCAAAATTTGATGACATTGAGAGGCCGGGAAAGGGTCATAGAAGCAGCAGTTCGTTTGTTGAAGGGAGGAGCGTGTTGAAATAATGTACCAAGAAATATTAGTGGCTAACCAGATGTTGATCAATCCCGTTCTAGTTCTATTCTTCGTAGGATCTCAGTTGTAAGCGCATGGCTTTCGATTGGTTAGACTTTTCGCCTCTTATCGCGTGTTTAGAAGCTGTAACACGTAGTTCCGTGGTTGACTTTATCTCGGATGGTTGGATCACTATAATTTTACTCCCTAGTAATTGCCTACTCTACCATACTTGATGTCCTTCTTGTACTTGATTGTTAGAACATCATTCTATTCAGTACGCATTTCAGGAACCCAGGACTGCTGGCTGGATATCTCGCAATTCGGAGCCAAATCCTGCGCATTTTTGGAGCTCGTCACACTCCTGTCGGCAGGCTACCCGAAATAGATTTGGCCTGCATAGCGTAATTTCAGGCCCTCAGTGTCCTGCTTGCCCTTGATGAAGTGTTACAAACGTCCAACATACCAGAATGGGAGTTGATGGTTCTAAACATTTGTGCACTTCTCTGTGTCAACCCTGTTCCAACGCTGCGGTGGAGTTTGGTGAGGACGGTGAAAAATGCTTTTGCCTCTAAAAGCTCGAAGGTTAAGGTGCTGCTAGACGAATCCTCGCGGCAGTACAGGAATGCGATGTACACCACTAACACCGAAAGTCCCGCGTACGGATGGTATGGTTTTGGTAATCAGGAAAATGAGTAGAATGAAGCCGCGTGCAGTTGATGGTACTACTAATGAGACAACAAAACACACACAACACACAAAACGATTATGAGAGAGAGGCAAATGAAATCGAAGGAATTTGGACCGAAAAACTATTAGGGAAGAGTGATCATATGACTACAACTGGTAAATCAATGACCAAGTGCCCTACATAAATACCGTATAAACTTCTCCGGAACGGACCCATACTAGTTGAGCGATTTGACACATGCATCATATGTCGTAGAGCGGGAATGCTACTGCCTGTAAGCCCGATGGCAAAATATCGAGGAAATTCTACAGTAGCTAACAAAGTTCCACATAAGGTCTGAGACAGAAGTGCCACACCATGGTGATCAAGTGCTGCGAAAATAGTGATCAGACAAAAGCAGGTAGATTTTTAAAGAAACCAACTAAGCAAAAGATATCACGTGAAACCACAGTACAGGA